ACAAAGTGTTAAATGGGTCAATGAAGTTTTATATTTATAAATTTTTTAAGACCATCAAGGTATTTAGATGAAGGGTGGTGATGGTTGCACAATTTTAATGTACTTAATCCACGCCAGATAATTGTACACTTAAAATATCAAAATGGTAAAGAGTGTTTATCTGTATTTTCTATAAGTACAAAAAATCTTAAAAATATGCTACTAATATTATTTGCTCATTAAAGTTCAGTTATATCACTTATTTGCTTTTCTTCAGCAATGATTATATTGTAACTGCTTTCAAATAGGAAGTATTGAAACACAGAATTAAACATAGGAAATCCTCTGTAAGTTGACCACCTAAGGGAGTGTAACAAACTGGTCAATATGCAGAGGTGGTCAATATAAGGACCTAGGTCAATACATATGTGTGGTGCATGTCCAGTCTATGAAAATTAGCCCAACTTCAGGAGGTGGTAAGTGAGGGAGGTGGTCAACTATAAAGGGTCTACTGCAGCGGTTCTCAACAGCAATTCTGTCATGACCCACAGGAACTGCATTAAAGGGCCGCAACAATAGGAAGGTTGAGAATCACTGGTCTACTGGGTGTTTTCTATTTGTTTCAAGTAGGATAAATCCTAAACATGAAAGAGATAAATTATTTAAATGCTCTTATATAGAATAAAATCCACTGATTTATTATAGGTTATCTTATATTCAAATTTAAATGATGAATAAGCTGAAGTTAAAAGCAAACTGTAATAAACATGGATTGCCTTCATCATTTAAATATGAAGAGGATTGTAAGAATTGGTGTCTAATTATCATGGAATCAATCCTTCTCACAGGAGTAGAAAAGAGAGGCCAGCAGCTCAACTCAGTAGTAAAGATCCAATGCTGTTCTACTACCAAATAATGGGGTGTCCAGCCTGGTTTGTCACTAGACTGTGTTCCCTCAAAGCAATGAAGAGTTCCCTCTCTCCATTCAGTCTTCCCACAGACATAGGGGAAACAACTGGAAAGAGACAGGTATGTGCTGTAGAGGGACTTTGCGGCATGGGTGGGACTTGTGATCCACCTGGCTCATCACTGCAATCTAAGCATTTGAAGACAGCCAAGAACAAATAAAGAGAAGTTATATGAACTACCTCCAAAGGGAAGTCAGATAAGAGAGAGGGAGGTTTTCTTCCTTTCTCCATTTGGAGACATTTAAATAACACTACAAATATTTATATCTTGAAGGTTTGATAGAGTCGCTTGTGAAAAATCTGAGTCTTGTTTTATTTTGGAGAGGAGCGGTTTGACTGCTTTCTCAAATCCTAGTACGGTAATTGGGTAATTGGTTTGTTTACATTTTATGCTCTCCCCGTAATTTATATTTTCTGAGAATTTGAAGTCAATTTTCAAATTTATTTGAACAGAGTTGAGTAAAATGTTGTCCTGTAATTAGTTTCCTCAGTATGTTTATGTGATTATTCCCTTGTTTGATTAGATTAGCTGGTGGTTTATCTATTTAATTGGATTCTTTCAGCAAACCAGGTATTGAATTTATTTATCAATGCTAGTATTTGTATATTCTAATCGCTATTATACATTTATATTTCTTCATTATTTCCTTTTTTGCTCCTGCAATCTTATTTGACTCTGTTCCAAAATTCTTAAGCGTGGTACATCATTGTTTTTTTTCTTCTATTTTGTAAATTATATGACCACAGAAGAATTGGACCTTTGACTTTTCAGTTTACCTATCTCTCAATTTTTATGTTAAATTGTATCAGGCAATGATTTGCATACAATAAGCTGCAAACATTTAAAATACGCCATGGAACAAATGATGCCAAATTATGAGCTGCGAAAATAATACAAACAGTATGCAGGACAATTTGTTCTCCCCTGAAATAGTCCTTATAACTTTTTGCAATGTATCTGTCTCTTTGTTCAAAGCCCCAGAAATTGAACAATCTGTCGTCTGTTATTACAATTCAGTTTACTTTTTACAAAATTATATATAATCATATACTAGAATTCATATTATGCTGCTTTTGACCATTTTTACTTGGCCTACTGATTCTCAAGTCTCATCATGTTGCTGCACTCAGTACTCTCCACTGGTGCTTTTAATGCTGAGTAATGTGCCATCACATGTCTATCCATTCACCTGCTGCTGGATAAGAGGGTTGTTTCCAACTGTGGCTATTATGAATAAAGCTGCTATGGATATTCTTGAACTTGTCTTTTTATGGATTTTTTTTTTTTTATCATTTGTCTTGGGTGAATGTGTAGAAAGTGGAAAGACTGCATATTTTGCCGGTTGTATGTTTAATACAATACCAGTTGTTTCCTTAAGGGTTATATTCTTTTACATTGCCAACAGCAGTTTGTGAGACATCCAAATTGGCAAAATATCCTCACAGTTGGGGTTCTAGACTTATAATTTTATTTATTTTTATAGATATGTAGTGCTGTGTCATTTACGGTTTCAGTTTACATTTCCCTAATGACAAACTTTAATTTCTTCCCTGTGATTATTTGCTACACGTGTATCTTTTATAGTGAATCATACTTCCAGATACTTTGTATTTTCTTAGTGTGGATGGACTTTTCTTTCATTAAGTGATTTATTTTTTATTAAAATGGTATTTTCTTCTACAATTTTAGAACTCTTTAGTTATTTTTTATATTTTCTGATTCTCTTCTGGAGAATTTCTATTTTTCTTTCATCATGAGTATGTGATCTTACAATTCATTTGGCATAGTTATAGAAGCTGTTTTTGCTGCTTTGTTTTATATTTCTAACATCTGAATCATCTCAGGATAGTCATCTGTTGCATTGACAATGGGATACACTGCCCTTGCTACTCTCACGTTGTGAAATTTTGAATTGTATCTTGAAGATTGTTGATGTTATGCTTGAAACATTAAGTTCTTTCTCTCGGGCAGCGCTGTGGCTTAGTGAGTTGGGCGCCAGCCCCATATAACCAGGGTGGCGGGTTCAAACCCAGCCCCAGCCAAACTGCAACAAAAAAATAGCCGGGCATCATGGCAGGTGCCTGTGGTCCCAGCTACTCAGGAGGCTGAGACAAGAGAATCACCTAAGCCCAGAGGTTGCTGTGAGCTGTGACTCCATGGCACTCTACCAAGGGCAACAAAGTAAGACTCTGTCTCTAAAACAAACAAACAAAAAAAGAGTTCTCTCTCTCCAAAGCATGTATGTGTGTGTATATGTGTGTGTGTATGTGTGTGTGTGTAGTAGCAGTAGTAGTAGTAACAGTCAGTTAACTTGCTTATGTTTGTATTTCAAACTATGGTACCTCTATAACAGAGGGAAGCTTAGATCTCAGTTCAAACAACTTTTAGTCTGAACTGCTCATGTGTAGTTCACAGGTCAGTCTGGGCATAGTTTTTAGACCTAATTTCGGTTTTTGATCTTCTGTCCCTCTCCTTCTTGGTTTACTTTCTCACTTTCCATTGGTGCTTAGAATCATTTTCTTGAAAAAAAAAAAAAAAAAAAGAATCATTTTCTTGGTTTCTTCAGCAAAAAAGATAGTCTTTCCACAAAAGATTTAGGAAACTTACTCCATCACCACAGCTAAGGCTTCTTTCATGGTTATAGCTGCAAAACTAAAAGGAAAAACAGAAATACAATTTTTTTTTTTATGATAGAGTCTTATTTGTCACCCTCATTAAAGTGAAGTGATGTTGTAGCTCACAGCAACCTCAAATTCTTGGGCTCAAGCAATCCTCTTGCCACAGCCTCCCATGTACATGGGACTACAGGTGCCTGCCACAATGCCCGGCTATTTTTTTAGAGTCGAGGTCCTGCTCTTGCTGATGCTGGTCTCCAAGCAATTCACCTGCCTCTGCCTCCCAGAGTGCTAGGATTACAGGTGTGAGCCACCATGCCTGGCCCCAGAAATGTAACTTTGTGTTTATTATTTCCTATAAATGTCAACACCTGTAAAAATATACATGTATTTCTTAACATTCTACACTCTCAGCTGTTTCTTACATTCTTACCAGAGTTTTTCATTGTTATTTTTGAGAGAGTTAGTTTGATAGAAACTTATTCTGTGTCACAATAATGGAACTCTTATACAAAACACATATGATACATTCTTCTTCAAGATTGTTCTTAAATATATTGTTGGTCTGTGAAAGAGAAAGCATCAAGTATTGAACTGCCCAAGGAGAATCACAAGAATCAGAAATCTGACCAAGTGTCCAATTTTATTAATAATTTCAAGAGACTAGTGAAGCCAGAAGAGACCAGACCATCAGTTTTGTTCCTTAGGCCATTTCTTACAACATCTGTAGCCTGGATGGACAGATGAGGTCTCTACGTGGTAGGGCCATGTCACTTACAAAGAAGGCCATCTCAGTTATGAAACATTCCCATTTTATAATAGTTACCTACCACATGAGGAATTTTCCAAGGAGTCAGGCACTGTTTTTGCTTTTATTTTTTTATTTATTTGTTTGTCTCAAGCTCTCCTGGACAGAGAGCAGATACCTCCTGCTAAAAGCAATATATAAATAAGCACTGTGAAAAATACTAGTTCTTTCTTAGTCTCTCTTTCATTAGCATGCTATCTTGTAAGATTTAAAGAGTCTTTTGATTGTGAGACAGAACACAGGCACTAGGATAGATGAAAGACAGAACAATGTCTTACAGAGAGCCCCCAAACAGTACAGGAATTCAGACACGGCCACACAAGGAACTGTGCCTGGGGAAATTGTAAAACAAAACTGGGGCTACTGAGGGCAGCTCATCTCTGGAAAGCGTGCTGGAATTTGCTAAGCTTATCAGGCTTCCTAGGAATTGATGAACTTCAATAATTTCTTCGGCCCTGGAACGTAGTGGCCTCTAGCTGTTGAGTACCTGATTCTTGGGTGATTAAGCAGGAGCATTGTGTCCCTGGAGTAGAAGAGCCCAACAGAAGAAATTGTTGTCATGTGGACAAAATCAGCTGGTGAAACAACCGCAAAACTGGATCAAGACAGCATTTTGGAAGGAGTTTATAAAGACAGTATTTTCAGGAATTGTTAATATATTTTGTGACTGGAAAAGTTTCTGTGAACATGCAGATTACTGGAAACCATGAGGAAAGGTGCAGCATTCTGTCCTGAGCAGGAAACATCGTCTGATGTTGTTTCACTGCTATCAGCATTTGTTACTGATGACTATTCTTCTCTCTCTCCAGGAGAGTCAGAGAGTCAGGACACAGTCTGAGTAATTCCAGTTGAGAAGAAGGAAGAGAAGAAGGAAGAGGAGAAAGAGTGGAGAAGAAAAAATAGGTAGAAAAAGAAGAAGAAAGAAGAAGAGGAGGAGAAAAAAAAGAGAAGGAGATGATCCCTCAAACCTAGAAGATTTTACTGAGTTATCTTTATTTCCTTGGCATGCCCACATAATAAAGAGAAAATTGCAGACCTGCTGCATAATGTTTTATTTTCCACAAGGCATTCAAAGTTGGTCAATGTGAATTACAAAGTTTCTTTTCCATTAGCCCAATTATTCTATCCACTAGTGATATTTGGAAGGTACCACCTCCCAGAGTATCCCCGGCTAATCTGAAGCAGCTTGCAATTATTCGCAGTTGGAGGGGTGGCCAAATATTACTCTCAACAACTATATTTTTCTTTGCCTATTCTTTGCATAGGTGAGCCCCAGACATTTTCAATACTCTCACTGACTGTGAAATTCAGAGAAATAAGGAAAGGTGGGAAAGTTCTGATGACAGTGTGGCTCTCCAGGCACAGAAGCTGCAGAGTTCACTGTCTATGCCATGGACTTTGAAAAAATAGTTTGTGGTTGAAACTCATAAAACCAATGGAGCCCAGTGAGGTTGAGTCAGTCTGGGCCATCAACACACCAGCCCTGAAGACCTGATTGGGCAAAGAAGATGAATCAAAAGTTGGGCAATATAAATCTGGATATTTGGTGAAAGTCTTGCCTCTTTGCAATGGAATTCTTGAGTATTCCTTCAGGAGTTTTCTTTTGTTTGCCAATACTAATTTCAGGTGTAAACATAGGCAAACTGAACATTAAATGAGGATAAGAAGTAGGTAGTTCTTGCAAATACTTGTTGAAAACTTGGTGTGGGAGAAGACAGGTACTTGAGTGCCAAAACATTTCCTTTAAATAAAGCTGGAAATGAAGGCTAACACCACCTCAGTATTCCTGTAGACCTGTATTAGTCTAGGGTTCTCTAGAGAAATAGGACCAATAGGATGTGTGTGTGTGTGTGTGTGTGTGTAGGTGTGTATGCGTGTGGGGGCCGAGGTAGAAGGAGGGAGAAGGGAGAGAGAGGGAAATTTATTTTAAACAGTTGGCTCATGTGTTTAAGAGAGCTATAGCATACAAAATCTACAGGGCAGGCTGGCAACCTGGAGACTCAGGGAAGAGTTGATATTACAATACTGAGTGCAAAGACAGTCACAGGGAAAAATTCCCCCTCCCCCCACCTAACTCAAGTTTTTTTTTTTTCTCTTAAATCTTTCAACTGATTGGATGAGATCCACTCACATTATGCAGGGTAATCTGCTTTACACCAAGTCTACTGATTTAAATGTTAATCCTATCAAAAATATAATTTCACAGTTACATATGGATTGGTGTTTGACCAAACATCTGGGTGCCAATGCCTAGCCAAGTTGACACTTAAAATGAAACATCACAAGACCCTTCTCCCCCTCAATAATATTCTATTCTCTGACCTCTACTGTCTGTTTCATAATAAAAATGGGGGTCAACAAAGCAGATTCAATTTGAGCGAATCAAATCTCTGGCCTCCTTGAGTGTTTCAAGCTAATCTTAGCATTGCCGGTTACTAGTGGAGTTTCTTTTTAAGATCAAATTCTTCTTCCCAGCCATCTTCATCTTCCTGCACCAAGCCATTGGCTTAATGGTTTGGACTCTAGCTTCTGTAATTGCCTTTAGTTTGTACAGGAGAGGCTCAATTCTTCCAGAAATACAGAACCTTCGAGGGGATTTTTAATGATGACATGTTGCTATTTTCTCTTACTTTCTATACACAAGAATGACCACCAGATATGATTTATTTTTTTTTCCACAGAGTCAAAGGTTTTGCCTCAAGTTCATGGGATCTCCCAATTGAGGACAGTAATCTAAAAATAATGCTGATATTTGTAGCAGAGATATTCTGAGGAGTACCTGATAGGTCACCACTTGTTCTGTAGTTAATATTTCTGCACAATACCCTAGATGTATGGAAATCGTGCTCAGAGTGTGCTTGCTGCATAAAGTAGGAATGATGGTACTGTGGACTGAATGTTCTTATCCCCCTCAATTCATATGCTGAGATCTAATCCCCAACGTAGTTGTATTTAGATGGGATATCTGGGAGGTTCGCAGCCCTCATGGGTGCTCTATAAAAGAGGCTCGTTCCTAAAGAATCCTACTGAGAAGCTGTAGTTTTGACTAGGTGAATCTTAGTAAGGCAGTAAGTATCCTCTCTGAATCTCAGTCTTATATGTTTGCTTCCCCGAATAATCAATAGACTTTTTTTTCACCTATAGTAGCCTAAAACCTGAATTGCTTTTTAAAAAATCCCTCTACATGTTGTTTGCCTGTGAGACACATAACAACTGTAGAGCAATCACTGCATATTCACTGAGGGCCTACTTCACAGCACTGAGCTTGATGGAGCTACTCTCAATACTGACACAATTCCCTGGTGTTGCAGAGTTAGATTCCAGAGCATGCAGGGGAGTTTGTAAGTAAAACAATACATATAATACGAAATAAATTATATACGAAAAATGCTATAGCGGGGGAAGAAAGAAATGTAGAAATGATCAAGAATTCTTAGGCAGGCTCATGTATTGACATCCGGGACATCATAACTAATAACACTGGAGGGTTTGAGAAATTGTAGATGCTTTACATAGAAGAAAAAGAAATCTACTAAGGTGGTAAATATTGGTATGTTTATTATATGTCTTTAGATTAGTCTTTGTTTTATTTCTCTAAGTTTCTGGTCTGATATGCAGACACAAAAACAATTATAAAGATTTAGATAAATTTTAAATAAAGAAATCTAGTTATTTTGTATTAAACTTGGTTCGATGTGTATAATCTTCTAGTTCATCTAATATAGTTTGGAGGCTTATGACAAACAGGTCTATAGCAACACAATTCTGCTCAATATATAAAATATTTAGCACTCAAAAATTAATACATACCATGTGCATTTTTATATTTTTATTGATCTAAAACAAAGTATTCCTTTTTGGAATGAGAAATCAAAGAAAAATGGCCCATGTGTAATAAAAAATAAAATGGCAGTTTCTACTTGTCTGAAGTTATAACTGCTTGTTCATTTCCAAGACAGAATTAGAGAGTTAGTCAGCAATGAGGTGGTTTATCCTAGAAGTGGCCAACTTTTTCTTCCTAGTTCATCCTCATACGGCCTTGCTCACCATCAGGGAAAGTAGAGATTTGCATCTCCTAGGCATTTGGAAGAGATGATGAAGGTAGTGTGAGGTGAAATCCAATTTAAACCCAAACCCACTAATTCTAGAGCGTCCAAAATTAATTCCACTTTTAAAAGTGTAAGGCAAGTGTTAGAAGACAAAATTCAATTTGTGAAAATAAATCACAAACTCATCTCCGAACCGGGATGTTTATATCCAGGGCAGAGCTTGGAAAGCATTTTTCTGTTGGAAGGTGGGATTTCAACTTTCCCTAAGGCTGAGAATTGACAGTATCTTCTCATGATATATTATTTTAAGACAAACATTTCTATCATAGTAACGATTTTTATTACAGTAATTATCCTCCTGACTATATCATGAATAATGGCAATTGGCTAATGCCTTAGAACAGGGCAAAAACAGTTCTTGTGTTACATGTCAGAGTCTCAACGACAGTGACAAAATGGAAATTATATCATGTTTTATGGTTTGGATTTTGTAGCGAAAAATAGAAACCTAAATATTGACTTGGAAGTTATTTTTAAAAACACACTATATTATCACATTTATTTTAATATCAC